TCAAATTCTTCCGTTATATCTCTTCTTCTCTAACTATATAGTCTCCCAAACTTGATGATATGCACATGAAAATTACTGTACAGAGATTTACATAAACCTAACCTTAGACCTGAAGAAGAAGAAGAGAAAGCAATGGAAGTAGTAGAGGCTTCACACGGTCGGATGCAATGGCTAGTTGAACCTTCATGGCAGGGTCGGAGCTAGAGATCGAGGTGCGGGTTCGGGTGAACCTAATAACTTATGTTCAAATTCTGTATTTGTCTTATGAAATTTAATTAATTATATGTATAGATTATTTATTCAAAATTCAGTAACTTAAAATGGCTAGAATTCTGAACTCATAAACTTCTCATTTTGGCTCCGCCACTTTTCCGTGGTGAGATTTACGACCATACTTGAGAAAACCTGAAATGCAATTCTATCTGCACTGATGTTGATTTTGTTTTAAGGGCTCATTTGCTTCCGTTGCCGAAAATAAAGATGGTGAGCCAATGCAAGTTCTCTTTTAGACTTGCCCTAATTTTCTTACTATATTTGGATTCACCTATTATTTGAAGGAAGAGTAAACTATTTACCATAATTAATTTTACTTTTTCTTAAAGGAAAATATAGATCTTCTCCATATTTGAAAAATCTCTTTCTTGGAGGAAAAGATTTTGATTTCTATAAAATGAGAAATTCTCCTTCACATAACAATTGAATTCATAATGTTGTCTTTAAGAGAATCTTGTTTAGGGAGAATATTTATTCTCTCATTAGTACTTTTCTCTTTTGGATTAGTAGACTGAATTAACCAAACATTATTAAATATGCATCTTTAGTATAATTCTTTTTTATCGTCACCAAGGTTTGCTTATTAGTTTTCGCATTCGCCTTGTTATTTTTTATCCCAATAGTCAAAGCGAGGTTGAAGACAGGATCATATCAATTTATAAAAAAGAAAAAGTCTGAAATATTATATGTGGAGATAAATTTTCAACCATATTTTTAAGATAACTCGTGCTGCTTCTTTAAAACAAAAAGGCCAAATACATATATAGCCATCTGAAGTTGTTACAATTTTCCACTTAGACACCTAAACTGATGGTGTTTCCTATTAAACACTTACATGTAAAGTGTATCTGTTGAACCCTTCATTACAAGCCAGCAAAACAAATAAAGTGTGTGAGATCCACAAATGATGACGTGGCAAAGACAACCAATAAAATGGAGCCATGTGGCCTTTGAGTCCGATTATTTACAACAAAAAAATTGTTGAGCCCAAAAAAAGAACTTGAAGCTATCTTCAGAACACACACACCCGGTAGTCATCTCCTTCACCGGAAATCCCTTCCTCCCTCTCCATCGGCTTAATTCCATAAAAACATTTTCCCACCTCATCTTCAGTTGTTATCTTCTTCAGAAAGTTCTTGGCGGCATTTTCATCGAATGAACCACTGCTGAAGTCGAACTCAACAAAATCGTGAGCTCGAGATATATACCCTAATTAAAAGAGCAAACACTCCTAGACATCATTATTACTCCTAATATATATTTAGGCTAAAGGTTCGATTTCTGCTATTTAACTTTTATCATTTGAACTTTTTCAGAGCTAACGAAGATGGTAGAAAAGGAATAGTAACTTTTGTCTTTTTCAGCCTTCACAATCGGAAATATCGAACTGGACTAAGGACTTGCAAAGCCACTAAACTTTTGGTATTGGACTGCAGTTCACTATTTCGAGATTTGACATCGTGTTGGTCTGTTGAGAAAATTTACTATTCATAGAAGTATGAAGTAGAGGAAGAAAAGTAATGGAAGTGAGAAAAGAACTCGGCGGAATTCATTCGCCGGCAAGCACGAAAGAGAGCTCTAAATTTAAGTAAAAATATAGCTTAATATGTCACTCCACACGCTAAAAGTAATGTATAATATACACACACTGCGCCATGTAATGTGTGCTGCGCCATGTCAGCAATGTGTGTTCCATGGAGAATTTTATTTTGTGTCTCGTACAACTGACACTAGTTGTATGAGACAACTTTTTTGTCTCACAGTTTTGTGGACCCAAATTCCTGTGGACCCAGAAGCGTAAGATTGGGGTCAACAAATTTATAAGACAAAAATGAACCTTATATAACTAGTGTAAGTTGTATGAGACACAAAATAATAAAACTTCTCAATAGAATTTAAGGTGGCTATGTATGTACTTGGCCAAACAAAAATTATTTTTAATTCATGCTTATAGGTTCCCATTTTAACTCATTTTTATTTTTGAAGCATGGGCTCTACTTTAAATTTTACGTAAAAATTGCACGGAGCGCTCTATTTCGTCGCCCCATTTAACCTATACCCATTTTTTTTTAAAACTTTTAACTTGTACCCACTTCTTAAATAACTTCAACCCCCTTTCTCCTCATTCTTCTCCTCCTTCGTTTTCTTCTTCTCAACAAAAGACAAAATGCAGAGCCTATTTTTTTTATTGGTCTTGCGTCGAAAATCTTTCTTCACCCGGGAGTAGCAGTTAATAACTTCAGCTCTTATTCTTAAGATGGAAATATGTTTGATCAATTCGTCAATGTGTTTCTCTGGTGCATTTTGTTAAGTTCTTTGGTTAATAAGTGCTCATAATACAGAGAAGCTAATGCTCTTTGGTTTTATCAAGGATTTATAATGTTGTTCTCTATTATATATCTGTAGGTTAACAGAATCCAATTTGAGTTTCACAATGGTGCTGCTGAGCATACATTTATGAGGTTGGATGGGGAACCATGGAAGCAACGACTTCCCACGGACGATGACACAGTGGTTATAGAACTATCCCATTTTAGTCAAGTAAACATGCTCGCCAGATACTCATGTGTTATGTGCATTACAGAGAGAGTTAAAAGTAGCCAATTACAACACAAAAAAGAGCTGAAGTTTCCCAGTTACAATACAAAAACTTCAGCTCAAGAGCTAAAGTTTTCTAGTTACAACACAAAAACTTCAGCTCTAGAGCTGAACTTCAGTCCCGGCTACTAGAATGCTAAAGTTTTGCGTGATTGCCTTTGCTATTTCAGCCCCGTGTGCTGAAGTTATGTGAAAAAGCGAGTACGTTTGCAATTTTTTTTGCAAAGCGGGCATAAGTTAAAATCTGACACAAAAAGCGGGTATAGATGCAAATGCCCCAAATTTTACGGGCACTTTTAACGCAGGGTTCCACTATTTTTAACACGTGCTCGATCTTAACGCACGAGGCTCCAATTTTCAACCTATATCTACTTTTAACCATGGCAAGAAGCAATGATGAAGATTATATGGCGAACGCGAACAAGTTTTGTCAAGAAAATTCAGGCCAAATGGGAGAATTGATATGACTTGCCCTTATTTTCTTACCATATTTGGATTTCACCTATTACTTGAAGGAAGGTTAAACTATTTACCATAAATGGTTTTACTTTTTCTTAAAGGAAAATATAGATCTCTTGATAAATCTCTTTCTTGGAGGAAAATGTCTTGACCTTTATAAATTGAGAATTCCTACACAACAACAACAATAGAATCCACAATGCAGTCTTTAAGAGAGGTTTGTTTAAGGGGAAAATTTATTCTCCTATAAGTATTTTTCTCTTTTTATAATAGTAGATTGATATAGGTTAATTGACTAAACCATACTAAAGTTTATTACGCATTTTTAGTATAATTTGCTTTATCGCCTGATTTATCATCGCCAATGTTTGCTTTACCAGCTAGGGCTGGGCATATATCGGGTATAACCGATAGCCCGAACCGAAAAAGCTTATTGGGGTATCGATATTGGGTTAACGATTTAGTGTTTTTTCACTATTGGGTTATCGGTTCGGGTCTGGGTTTTCCAAGAGGATTACTTGGATATCCTCGGTTTCCCAGTTTCTTGGATATCAGTTCTAGCATAATATACTGGAGTTCCAGCAAGTATAATTGTCCAGTATAATATTGGAGTCAGCAAAGTATACCGGTCCAACATAATATGCTGGAGTTCATACACAGGTGCACCGAACTCCAGTATATTATGCTGGACCGGTCTCTGTTGCAGCAAAATAGTGGTTATTTTTCAATGACTTCGTAAACGCTGGTATTTTTGAATGACCAGTCCGAAAACTGGCTATACCGTGCTATTTTTACCCCAATTTTTCCAGTCGCATTCAAGATTGACGTTTCACAGTTCACTCTTCAGACTTTGAATCACTTCTTCTTCAAAATTCATTTTTTTGGCGGATAACAAAAAATTGTTATTTACGTTCTTGTTAATTGCTATTTCCAGTGAATTGGAGATGAAATGTTTGTGGACTTGTAGTATCAATTTTGGAGATTACACAGGTCTTGAACTTGTCAAAATGAAGCATGCTTCAAATATTAGCTGTGGCCAGAACGCATAAATGGGTAGAATAATATGTGAATTCTTCTCTTTTTTGATTAATTCCAGTGAATTGTCTTCTCTTTTTTGCTAAACTCTGGATTGAGTTATATCTTATCGGGTAAACCGATAACCGATTAACCGATAATCGATAACCGATATCTTATCGGTTCGGTTATCGGTTTATCATATTTGTAAACCGATAACCGATTAACCGATAATCGATAACCGATATCTTATCGGTTCGGTTATCGGTTTATCATATTTGTAAACCGATAACCGATTAACCGATAATCGATAACCGATATCTTATCGGTTCGGTTATCGGTTTATCATATTTGTAAACCGATAACCGATATGCTAAACCGATAATATTCATAACTGAACCGAACCGACCGATGCCCACCCCTATTACCAGCTTTCATATGCGCCTTGTTATTTTCGATCCCAACATTTTCCACCGCATCCCATAACCATAGTCGGTAATTTTCTCCCATGGCTTCAACTTTCGGGCTATTTTGATCTGTTTGGTTGTTACAAACAGGTTTAGCAGCCAATCCTTGACATGGAAAGATCCCATAAATAAATATGCATACAGTTTTACAATGGAAGAAGTATAAATGAGCTTAATACTACGTGAGAGTGAAGTTAAAGGCTTAATCTAAAAACAATCATAATCCCTTTTTACACCAATACACAAATCAAAGATGGCTATGCCATCTTTAAGTTAGAAAAGAGAAAACATCAACGGCCTGCATTTAGATCAATAGCCAACCCAATGACACTCTCCTGAGTACTAACTGCTACATTCTCTTCATGCGAAGGTGGAGTCCCTCCTTCCTCTCCTGGAAGGTGAAAAATCTGCTCTGTATGACTAGAAATACTTGGACTTGGCGGTTCATTCGTTTGTGGAGAAGCAAACATTGACAAGTTATCATGTGGACTTTGTGGACAATCCATATGTCCTAAAACTCCCACTGCATCTCTCAGTTCACTATTCTTGAACGTATGGCTACTATAGTCTTTTCTGTCAAAATTTCTAGCCAAGATTCTGATTCTTTCGTGGAACGGAAGATTAGATTGTCTCATGATGTGCCAATGTTCATGCATGAACGTTGTGAGGAAGATGAGGAGAGCCAAAGTTGCTGCAACTACAGCTATGACAAAGAGTCCCCAGAAGCTATCTAGGCCAAGACTATTGGAGGAGGGTGAAGCGCTAGAATTTGAACAAGTATATTTCCCGAACCATGCTTTCTCTATTTGTACCATCTTTTCACTTTCTGTCACACTTAAAACTGCTCTTGAAACATCAGGTACTAGAGGAGATCCCATTGGGAAGGCCTGGATGAAAACCACAAGAATGATGAATTCATAATATTCTGAACTAGATGCAAATCAAAAGAAAAAAAGGAGTTACTTACAAAGCCAAAGCCATCGCTCTTATATGTAGGCCCAACGATGGTATATTTCGAGCAATACTTTGCAAGGATAAGCTTCACATAAGGAATCTCATCAAAAACAGCTGCAATACCACCATTCGCACTACCTCTAGAGAGTAAATCAACACATTCCTGTGGAGTGCTATAAGGCCTAAGCCTGTCCTCATCAAAGTTCATCTTTGCTAGAAGTCTTGCTACAAAAGAACCCTGTTGGTAGCCCACATATTCATTGCTCTTTAGAAGTTCTGGCTGGAGTTTTTCAACTGTTAACGTCGATGTAAGACTTGCCATGTAGCTGGAAGTCAATATGAGTACTACTAGGAACCAGATGATCAATACAAACCTAGCCAAGTTGCTTACTATCTTCTCCTCTGTCAGTATCGAGAACCAAAAAGAAGAAAATTCAGATTAGAAGTTTGAATTATATGCTATATATAAGAGCAATGGCTAATTCAGATTGAAGTACGTATGTGTGTGTGTATATATCCCAATTTGATTGTGCATGAAGTTTAAGAAAGAAAATACTTCTGGCACACACCAAATCGCCCTTAGAACTTGTGGTGTTAAACACATCATGATATTTCTATGGCTATAAGAGCATGTCATTAAAGGTAAATGGGAAGTGAAAATATGAAGATTTTTCAAATATATACAATGGTGTCATTCTTTTCAGAGCAGAGAGTACAATATAAAATATAATTAAGGAGGAGGAAAAAAGAAAGTACTCTGTGCAAAGACCATAGCTGAGAAGGGGAACCAAAAGATCAAGCGAACTTGGTGCCAAGGAGGTCCTCTGAAGTCTTCATTAACTCTATGTTCAAGTACCCAAATGACAAAGCCAATGAAAACAAAACAACAGAAGCTTGTTAACCACAGCTCCCATGTCAATGGCTTCACGAACACCCACGCTTTGTTTCTATTCTTGTCTTTGATTGGCACCACCATCGCGACTCCAGATTCCGTGTAAGGTAATGTGAAATCAACATATTGCGATCTATTTGCGAAAATGGTAGTGTCCCCTACAACAGCATCAAAGGTCTGCTCGTTGGTCAGTCCTAGCAACTTGTTAGAATCAAATAAAATTATATATGCAAGAAATGTATTTCACGGCTAGAAATGACAAGAGTGGGTTGCTCTAGTGGTGAGCACCCTTCACTTACAACCAAGAGATTGTGAGTTCGAGTCACCCCAAGAACAAGGTGGGGAGTTCTTGGAGAGAGGGAGCCGAGGATCTATCGGAAATTGTTGTTGTTGGCTAGAACAGCTTTGTTGCTATTTTTGTCAAAAATGTAGTGACATTTCCAACGGAACCGTCGGAAAATAAATTCTTTTAGAAGGAAAAGGAAACCAAATTGATAATAAAGGGAGGGAAACTAAGAGATTTACCCCAAGAAATAATTGATAAACAAGATCGTCGTAACTTTCAGTAGTCTCTCCATCAGGAGTTACATAGGGAACAAATTCATAAGGAACATAATATGGTAATGCGTCCATCACTTCCTTGAAAACATCAATGCAGTAACCAGTAACCGTTGTTGTGTTAGTAGTAAAATCTCTAGTAACTTTCACAAATTGACTGAAACCATGTTTTAGTGGAACTCCAATCCTCAATTTCTTCCCATTTGTTGGAATCACCCAACCTTTAGGAACAGAAGTAGTGTCACCAGGCCATATAATAGTGCCAAAATTAGTCTTAGAAATTGAATGTCCATTTTTTGTGCTTCTCAAACTTAGATCTTTAATAATCCCATTTTCTCTTGTCCAAAAACCAATTCCTTTTGCACCATTGCCAATCACATTAATAATCTGATAAGCTGGTGACCGCAATTGCCCATCAACAATTTGAAAGTCTCCGCTAAGGCCTTTGAAAGTAGTATTTAGTATAGCTTGAAGAAGTTTTGGACCATCCTTGGAAACTCCAATAGCTTCAAGATATGTTGTATTTCCTGAAAGTTCTAGAGGTATCAAAATCAATCCATTTTTACTGTAACCTACACAATCCCTCCAAGTTTAAAGAGGTTGGATTATAACCTGTTTGTTGATTTGTCTCAACGGGTTGAACTCGAATAACCCATCAAACTATTGGGTCAAATAGTGTAATCGACGTGACAAAATGCAATTCAAACTCAAACATACAAAATCATATTTGGCCATCGCGAATTATGTAAATCTGAAAGAACTTAAGCAAATAATTTAATAAAGATATATTAACTTTAACAGTTTTTGTTCAAAAAGAGAACAGAAAAAAGAAAGAGTAAGGAGGCTGGGTTATGATGGACAGATTGAGTTATGACTCGTTATTTAACCCATCTTAAGTTTGATCCAAACAAACTTTAGGAGGATTGAGTCATGACTCTTTTATTGATTTGACCCAACCCGCTCATTTGTCACATTTACTTACCTGAAGTGTGTAGCTTTTGAAAAGAGGCACCAGCGTTTCTAGATTTCTCCACTGCCATGGCTAGTGCAGTAGCTGAATCATAAGCCCATAGTCCAAACACATTCAATTCCGCATTAAGAATTGTTGGATTTTCTTGTTGAAACTTCAGTTTCCATCTAGTAGTAAAATCCTCAAGTTGTTTAGTTCTTGGAACATAAGGTTTTACTCCAATAACTCCTTGCATGGATTCAATAGTTGAAGGATCCATAGAATTAAGTTCATTTGCCATAGCATCTGTAATAATCCAAACATACCCTTCACTCATCATTCCAAGTTCTTTGGCCATAGTAAATATTTTGGCACCAAGTGAAGTTGTCATATGCACAATAAAAACCCGAGTTTGCATACTCCTTAACTTGTGAAGTTCAGATGTAATCCGATCATCAATGGCAAATTCAGGAATAACGCTTCGATAATGGATACGTGCATTGATTTTTTCTAATGCATCAGTCAAGAATGGTATAATACCTTCTCCGAATTGATTGTCAATGTATATAAGGGCAACCTCTCTCCATCCAAAATATTGGATAATGGAACTAATGGTTTTAACTTGAGAAGAATCATTTAGAGTGGCACGAATGAAGTATGGACTACGAAATGATGAGAGAGAAGGACTTGTAGCTGAAAATGAGATGATGGGTACTTGAGCTTTCTCTCCTAAACCAATTATGAAATCAGCTTGCATTGATGATGTTGGCCCTATTATGGCTTTCACTTCAAGGTCCTTCAATAGGTCAACTGCTGCATTTCCAAATAATGAATGAATCAACAAAAGTAGAGTTTAACTTTTATATAAGTGTAAGGAAATTTTACATTATAATTAGGTGGAGTTTAACCGTTTACAACACGTTAAATTATAATAATAGTATAAATTCTTTATACGAAAAAAGGTCAAAACTACCCTGATCTATTGAATTTGGTGTAAAACTGCTCTATGTCTATCTACTAAGCCAAAAGTACCTCCGTCGTCTTCTTTTAGCCCAAAAATGCCCTAAAAACTAATATATCATTTAAAAATAAAATTGAAAAAGACCAAAAATGTCCATGATCTGTTGGATTTGGTTAAAGATTCCCTTTGTTAACCACATATCAAATTATACGACCCACACATACCTAAAGATTCAATCTGCCCATAAGATCCAAACCCGAATTTAATAATAAAATCCCATATCTGATCTCTTTTCTTCTAACCAATTAGTTTTATCTTCTTCTTATATTATGAAAATTATGATTATAATGTTCGTGAAGCTCCAGAACCACTAAAATTCATCAGACTGGCTATACTATGGTTCCAAAATTGCAGACTTATCTAGTAGTTTTGGCCCTTCTCTGTTCTTTATATTATCGGTAAGTGAGAGGCTGATAGCCTGTTTGGCCAAGCTGGAGAAATCAGCATATTTTGAGAAGTGCTTTTGAAAAAAGTACTTTTGGAGAGAATCAGTTTGTGTTTAGTTTGTGTTTGGCTAATCAGTCTGAAAAGCACTTTTGAGAAATAATTTTTGTTTGACCAAACTTTTTAGAAAGTGCTTTTAAGTGTCAAATTACGAATAAGGACATGAATAGATTTACTTAATAATTAATATTATAAGTAAATAAATAATATCAAAATTTTGTTATTACATGCAATAATTAAAAAAATTCATTTTATTTAAGTAAAATATGAAAATAAAATTAAAAAGTACTTAATTCTTTTAATATAAGTTAAATATATTAAAATTCCTAAGACACTATATATTAGAAAGTTTCCTAAAAATAAGAAGAAATATTTATAAATTAATATCCTAAGTATTAGGTTTAAAGATTATTTTGGTATATACTATATTTTGTTAAGGGTATTTTAGGTAAGAAGAAAAGACAAAACTGCTTCTACTTCTGCTTTTGGAAAGAAGCTATTTTTTTCTGTTTCTCTGAAACTGTGATTCTTCCCAAAAGTACTTTTTTTCCCAAATAAGCTTGGCCAAACACATCAAATAAGAAAAAAAAAAATACTTTTGAAGAGCATTTTTTCTGTCCTGAGAAGCTTGGCCAAATAGGCCATGAGAGCATTATTGATTCCCCTATGTGGAATGGAATACAGTACCGACTGAAGGCCCAAGCGACTGAAGCAAAAGGCTGTAGGGTGATTGACAGGAATGGTCCTATAAAGCTCTCATCTTTAAATATTGTCCCTGATTTTTAATGTATAATTAAAAATAACGTACGGTCCCACAAAAACTTATTGCTTGTCAGGGATTCCTCTAACGGATTAGTAAATCATTAATTGTTCATAAACTCTAACCGACATTGACTTTGTGATTATTTAATTATTTACCAAACTTTACCATATTGATATGATTTTGTGTTATTGCATTCGATCTATTTGTTAAATTTTTTATAAATCGGTTGACATGATTTTTTGCTTGTCCTGTTGTTCACTAAATTCTACCAAATTGGCATGTGTTATCTAGAATTGGCATATCTATTAAATCGTTCCTCAAATTTTATCTGATTAGCATAATTTGTATGTGTCGTTGGACAAAGTCTTTCTCGAAATTGAAGTTTCAATTCAGATCAAATTACCCTAAATTTGTTCCAAATGATCTCAAATTCGAAATAAAATCTTCAAATACCAATACAAACAATTTTCAATCACCAATTTAGTCAAATAACAGCAAATCAAGAAAATCCACTTTGTCTTTCTTCACCACTTTCTAAAAATCAACAATGGAGTTTCAAGATTCTAAAAATAAATTAGTAAATCAGCTTTGAACTAAAAGCTTAAGCACATATTATCAACACTTAAATAATTGTAACAACGGAAAATGGCTAAAAATATCCCAATCATATTCTAAATGATTTACTATTGTGTTCCGTTCACCTATTGGCCCAAAAATACACCTAACGTTATCTTTCCGTCTAAAATTACTCCGCAGCTAACGGAGTTATCTGTGGTCCCATTTTTAATGTGTTGTCACAATGTGATTGGGACACGTGGTCATTTGGTCAATATCAATTACAATCCGCCCCCAAATATCGACCCGCGCTATTTTTCAGACCAACCCATAGTAAAAATACTGTATTTCTACCTACCAATTCCTTTTAGGAGAAGACCGACCAAATTTAAAAAAAATTCTCCACAGATTCGCCATTTCATCGGAATGGAAAAACCAAAAACAGGATTTTTAACACCCATAAATAATCATGAACCAAAATTAGTGACAACAATGGAGCAATGACAATGAAACAGCCATGAACGAGGCAGAAGCAAAACCATATGAGTCCAAAATGGTCGCCGGAACTTGGTACTTGACAAGAGTCTTTTTTTTTCTTTGGATTCGAGCATACTTTTTTCCATGTAAAAAATCGAAAAGAAAAGAGTGAGAAGAGTACAAATAAAGAGAGGTTGCCGAAATATTTCTTCGGTTAGATCCTGGCCAAACTCCGGCGACCGATTTCTGAAAGATCAATACTAGATTTAGCTACTGCAGCTATTATAATTTGTTTGACCCCCAATCTTTCGAAAAATCCTTATGGCGAAGATCATATAACTTGGGATGAAAAGTCAATCTTATCATCAGTAGGAGCATATGGGTGAAATATAAAAAGAGTTCAAAGAATCAAAAGTGAGTCTATAGAGGAGGCTTGCATTTTTGTAGGGACAGTATATTTTATTTTTCTTAAAAAAGGTAGATGAACCGAGACATTCCTCAAGAAACTTGATTAGCGATAAGGAATTAAATATTGAACTGACTAATTGGATGGATTGAAGAAATAGAAAATGGACAACCGAAGAAGGACCCAGGAGGAGGAAGAAGTGCAACAAATTGGAGGGTAGAAGGAAATGGTGAAGATGACGAGAAAATAAGAACTTAGGAGGAAAAAGTTGGGTAAGAATGAAATCTGGGGCGGGTAGAAATTAATTTGGACTGGGCGTCACGTGGCCCAATGAAATGATGCCATCGAATTAAAAAAGGACTCACACAATATTCTGTTAGTTGCGGGGTAGTTTTAGACCGAAAGATAACTTTAGGTGTATTTTTGGACCAATAGGTAGACGGAGCGCGATAGTAAACCATTTAGAATACGATAGGGGTATTTAGGCCCTTTTCTGTTTTAACAATAATCAATTATTAACTTTTAGTTTTCACCCTAAACAAAAAATTTACGAAAAAGGATCAAATATAGCCTTGTACTATCAGAAAAGGTTTAAATGTATGTCACTTTCATTGTACTTTGAGTCCATATATACCCTCGTCGTTATACTATTGGTTCAAATATATCCATTTTTCGTTAACTTTGTCCAAAGTGGACATCCAATCCTACGTGACACTAATATTTGATGAGGTGGATGCCACATGGCTTGCACTGCCCACCATGATAAACTAGCACCACCTTCTTCACTCACAACCACTACCACCACCCACCATTATTAATTATTACCATCTACCACCACTATCCTCAACCATAATCGTTATCAGTACCAATCACCACTAGTTACTACCAGAACCACCACCAACTACCATCTCTAGTTGACATTCACAAACACCACCATTAGTTATCACCACCATTAACAATCATATTTTTAAAAATATATATATTATTGATAGAATATCTGATTAATTAGTATTTTATTTTAATTTTGTGTTTATTAATTTTCAAATAAAGATAAATTTTATATATTCAGATGTTAAAAAATAAATAGTCTTAATTATTTAGTATTCAGATCTTGATACACATCTTAATATTCAGATGTGTATTCATATTCAGATGTCTTAATCTTAATACATATTTTAATATTCAGATGTGTATTCAGATTAGACGTCTTAATCTTAAAAAGAGCAAATGAGGCATGAGTCAGTGCCATATGTTTCACATGTACGAGCTTATAATTATGTTAACTTCCGACTATATATTCAAGAATAGGAAAACTACATAGTATAGTAGCTCCCAAAATAATAAGCGATAATAGAAATATATTTTTTGTATATTAACATCTAATTACATAAAATATACATATTTTATAATAATTTTTTTATATATTTGACTAACGAATATAATTATTTTTTATCGTTCTATCAAATGTGTAACTTGACCTAAAGATTATGTCAACTTAATAATCCATAATCACTTCCGTGACATTAAATTGCTACAAGTGTGAGTTTGAACGGGTAAAATGGAATAAAAAGAAATATATGTAGTACCACTCAACTATGAAATTCCTATCCCCTAATATAAAATTTTAGTACTAGTATTTACTCTAAATTCTTTAATTTTTGGTTGAAAAGGTCAGAAAGTCAACATCAAAATGACTAACTATTTAATTACTAATAATTCTCAATCATACATGCATGTACCAATCTACAACTTGAATAACATTAATAGAATGACAAATTAAAATATGTGACTAGGCACTAGCGCATTTCATGAGAAGTTTTTAGAACTGCTATTGAGTTTATGGAAATAAATCACATATTAATTATTTACTTGGAGTAAATGATTGATTTTGTACTGTTATGAAGCTTTCTTAAGTTGAAATTCGTGGTGTAATTGAAAAGTTTAATGGGAAGAAAAGATCCAGTAGCTATATGCTTGGCTTTAATTATTTGGCTTAATAAACTAAAGCACTTAATAAATCTTTTGCAAGAACACAATGAAAAGAAAGGCAATTATATGGATAGAAGCATTCCATGTATACATAAAATCTTGTGAAACATAGACTATTTTCTTCGAGTCAAAAAAAAAAATTGTCTTTGATTCAAACTAAAGGATTGAAAAGCATGTGTAGAAATCACACACACACACACTCTAACTAGTGTAAATTTATTCTAAGTACGTTAAAAAAAAAAATAACACTATCGATGTATATTACTTACCTGCTGCAGCGGCGGCAACTATGTCTCTCTTTGAGTCACGAGTATGGAGAACTAGTCTGGTCTTATAATCAGAGCCATGATCAGAGCTATAAAAGTCAGATAAAGCCATAGAAATACAGCTTAAACCCATTTTCCCAACCCATGCATCCATGTCAAACACAACTCCCACATTTATGGGAATTGTTGATCTGTTCTGTGCCATGGCCATTTCCATGCAGAAAAATATCCCTAAACATAGGAAGAAGAAAGAGAAAAAGGAAGAGAAAGAAGAGACTGAGAAAAAGACTTTGCAAGTTTTCTTTCTCATTTTGACAAAAGATGCATTTGAGTCTGATTAGTTGGACAGTTGACTTTTATAGAGAGATTTGAGGTTTGACTACTGTCCAAGAACTCGTTATGGCATTTTAATAATAAGTTAAACTTAACGACAAGCTTTACGGACTCTTGGGGTCAGTGTTGGTACTAAGACAAATTTTTAATTTTTTTTCTTGCTTACGTAACTTTCAGATGTATAGTATTCTCTTATCAAAATTTATGTGATGCATTTTAACTTTTGAAAGAAATAAAGAATAATTTTTGAAATTTGTAATTCAAAATAAGCCATAAATATTTGTGTCATTATAAATTTTGAAAACTATTTTATTCACGGGCAATACCATTTTTATGGAGAAAAATATCCCCAAACATAGGAAGAAGAAAGAGGAAGTGGAAGAACTTGTAAGGGTGTCATTCGGGCCGGATCACCTCGAGATCGGATCAGATCGGATCAGCTAGGTAAAAACTCGAACTAGGGTGGGTTGTGATAGGGGAGGATCGAGTTGGGGGTTGGGCCCGATAGACCGGTCTAGATACGAGACGAGTTCTCGACCCACTAGGGCACTCGCTCGGACTGGCCCGGTAACAAAACTAGCCATTGGCCAATGGCTATTTTCGCAATTTGACAATTGCCAACGGCTATAAACGGCCAAAATAACCTCACAACCTCCCTTAAATTTTATTATTAGTTTTAAAGTTTATAATATTATACTTTTACCCAAATTTTATCTATAAATACTCTTTTTTTTTGGTAATTTTTCATGCCACTTCTATTTACTATCTATTTAATTCTCTCTATCTCTATCTTTCTCTCTCTTACTCACTTAAATTGTAATAATCCGACTGGTCATTTTACTTTCTAGAATCTCGTTCCCCTAAATAAAACTTTTCGTACTTGCTTTTACTGATTTATGACTTGCGGGGATGGTTGGTTCGGGATTTGAAAGAGTTTAGGTTGAAATCGGAACACTTAGTTCCTTAAGGTCGACTTAAAAGGTCAAGTTTGACTTCGATCAATATTTTGAGCAAACGACCTCGAAATCGGGATTTGATGGTTCCAATAGGTTCGTATGATGATTTCGGACTTGGGCGTATGCCTGGATCAGGTTTTGGATGACCCGGGAACGTTTTGGCGCCTAACAGTGGAAGTTAGTTCTTGAAGAACTTTGAAGTTCTTTAAACTTGGTTTGGAGCGAGTTTTGATGATATCGAGGTCTGAATTGAATTTCAAGACCGGAAATAGTTCCGTAATGTCATTTAAGACTTGCACGCAAAATTTGGTGCCATTCCGAGTAGTCTAAGTATGATTCGACGCATTCGGCGAATTTGGAAAACTTGAAGTTCAAAGTTTGATCCAATTTGGTTTTGGGGTATGATTCTTGGTTTCGTTGTTGTTTTTCGCGTTTTGAGAATTCGATCAAGTGCGTATTATGATTACATACCTATTAATACCTTTTGGCGGGGTCCCGAATGGCTCAGGTGAGTTTCGAACCCCTCGGAGCTAAGTGCATGAAACCAGATTTTGCCCAGTTATGATTTCCTTCTTCGCAAATGCGAAGATACCATCGCGTTTGTGTAGAAGGAGTTGCACTGGGGGGGGATGCACATCGCGTTTGCGAAGGTCTGGGCCAGTGACCTTCACGTTCGCATGAGGCGACTANGGGGGGGGGGGGATGCACATCGCGTTTGCGAAGGTCTGGGCCAGTGACCTTCACGTTCGCATGAGGCGACTAGCGTTCGCGTATAGTAGAGTAGCTGGGTCAGGCCAGCTTTGTTCTTTGCGTTCGCATTTCCATTGTTGTGTTTGCGATGAAGGGCCTTCAGAGGGCCTGAGCCAATGGCCTTTGCGAACGCGAGGCCCCTATCGCATTCGCGATGAAGGGGGAAGCTGGGCAGTGAGTTTAAAATCGGGACCTAGGCATATTTGAGGTTATTTATTACATTCTTGGTGATTTGGGAGCTTCAAAAGGGGAAATTTCAACCTAGCTTTGTGAGGTAAGTAATTTCTACCTAATGTGATATTAATACATAGTTTATGGGTAGATTACAACATGTAAATTAGTGAAAATTATGGGTTTAGAGTAAAATCTAGGTTTTTGATAAAAATGAGAATTAACCACGAAATTTGTTATGGAATATAGTAAAAATCGTATATTCTTGATCCTAAGGTTATGGGAAACAACTTTCTTCGAAAATTTCTGAAATCCAGGCACGTGGGCCCGGGAGTGCATTTGAGGAATCTTGTAATATGGGTTGGGTAATCACTCTAATTGTGGGAATATGAACTTTTGAGCCTATATTGATTAGTTTTTACATTATTTGGATAATTTCGGATTGTTCGACATCAAATTGAGGGTTTGGGCTTAAGCTTGGACCGAAAAGTAGACCTTGAAGCGAGATAAGTCTCTTTTCCAACCTTGTAAGAGGGAAATTTCCCTATAGGTGAACTAAATTAATACATGATTATTTGTGGGGGCTACGTATGCACGAAGTGACGAGAGTCCGTACGTAGCTACTATTCTTGTTATGTCCAGGTAGTTCTAGGCTTACACCATGCTTTGTGGGTACCATTTTCTGAACATATTTTGTTGGTCTGTGTTGAATAGAACTATGTTGAGAATTTCAAAATTTCAAAGGTTTCAAGCAAATTATTATTTTGAAAAGAATTGAGAAGAATTTCATTATATTTATATTTAACCACGTAGCAAGTATATTTCGCGAGCAGGGTGACTATTTCTACTACTCACATGGGAGCGGGCCGTTCACCTCGACAGGTTAATAGATGCATCTATGTTCGCACCTTTCGACCCTTGGCAGTGCACAATTTACTTTTATGTTGGATCGGGTCGAACGTCCTCGTGGAATTTATGTGTGATAATAGAACTGAAAGTCCCTTTTCATAATTTGTATAAGTTTACTACTTTAGAGATCATTTGTTTTAAATGAAGGAAGTGTTTGGGTTCCTAAATATTACGGAAGAACTGTTAATTTATTTCTTGTTCTGAGTTTATTGTTAGTTCTGCATATCATGCTTATTAGAATCACATATTATTATATTGTTGGCCCTAGTAAGTGTCGAAGTCGACCCCTCGTCACTACTTCTTCGAGGTTAGACTAGATACTTACTAAGTACATATTTTTATGTACTCAAGATATACTTCTGTACTTGATTGTACAGGCTTTGAGGCAGGTGCATCTGGCCACCAATTCGGCGCGTAGACTTGATCCCCCAGCTTGAGACTTCACGGTGAGCTTCCCTCTTGAGCCGTTATGCAGCAACTAGAGTCTTTTCTATGTCTTTACTTTCTGTCTATTTCCTTTAATACAATAGGATAGCATGATTTTGTATATTCTACTAGATTGCCCACATACTTGTGACACCGGGTCTTGTCACACACTAGTAGACTTATGATTTTGGATTTGTTTACATGATTTCAATTTTCACTTATTTGCTTTCGTTTAAGTTGTGTTTCAATTTCAAATTTCTAAATCTTTTAATAAAATGAGAAGATAATATTCACCTAGTAACCTATTTAAACGGGAAACTACTAGCTTGTTCAGTGTTAGCTTGCCTAGCAATGGTGTTGGGTGACATCACGGCCTGTAGTGGAATTGGATCATGACAACATGGTATCAGAGCACTAGGTTCACGTAGGTCTCACAAGTTATGGGCAGGCCTAGTTGAGTCTTGCGGATCGGTGCAGAGACGTTTGTACTTATCTTCGAAAGGCTATATGGTGTTAGAAAACTACTCTTTATTCATCTCATATCGTGCAGTTGATGGTATACTAAGTTTTCTTCTTGTATTCTCTCACATATGGTGAGGACGCATACAACGGACGTTCCAGACCCAGGAGGAGCTGCTCCCCCCGTTGCTAAAGGCCAAGGCAGAGGCCGGGGGGCACCGGCCCGAGGTAGGGGACGAGGGCATCTTAGAGCTGCCCAGTAGCACCACTAGTGAATCCAGTGGAGTATCCCGTCATCGAGGAGCAGGGTGAGGTGCATGTCCCAGAGCCATCCCCTGTAGATTTCATGACAGCACCGGGCTTTCAGGAGGTCATGGGCCGTATGCTGCGGTTCATGGACACTATGACCCAGGCTGGTTTATTTCCAGCAGACCCAACCACATCTCAGGCAGGAGGGGGAGCACAGACCCCTATTGCTCAGGCTCCTAGGCACGCAGCTGCCGTATATCAGACTCCGGGTATACTACCCATGGGCGGTGCCCAGCCAGTTGCAGCAGTGGCACCTGAGCCTAAACCAGTTGTGGACAGTGATCCATAGAAGTTGTTGGACAGATGGACTAGTCTACACCCTCCTATTTTCGGAGGTGAACGTCATGAAGATGCCCAGGATTTCATTAATAGGTGCAGGGACAGACTACACAACATGAGGATATTGAAGTCCCATGGAGTAGATTTCACCGCCTTCTATTTAGAGTGCAAGGCCCGTAGATGGTGGCAGTTTTACCTTCCCAACAGACTAGCAAGTTCTCCTCCCATGTCTTGGGACCAGTTTACACAGCTTCTATTGGACAAGTATATTCCACCCTCTCAGAAGGAAGAGTTGCGAGGTTAGTTCGAGCAGCTCGAGCAAGGTCAGATATCGGTGACCGACTATATGGAGAGATTTTCTAAGTTGTATCGCCATGCACTTATGATACTTTCTACAGACGCAGAGAGAGTGCAGAGATTTGTTGCAGGGTTGCATTCCAGTATTCGGGCTAGCATAGCCCGAGAGGTTGAGATGGGGATTGAGTATCAGCTAGTGGTGGAGATTGCTCGGAGGATTGAGGGCTACTGCCAGAGGGGTAGAAAGCAGATATAGTAGGACAAGGGGACCCAATTCTCTAGAGAGTTTAGAGGTGCCACAGCTAAGGGCAGAGGTCAGTATGGGAGGGGTCAGCCTAGTAGGCCCCCATATCCAGCACCACCACCACCTCCTCGGGGTGCTCCAGCACAACCCTATTTCAGTGCTA